ATATATAAAAAATTTCGTGATTTCTTTATAAATGTTTTGATGAATGGTACATGAAATCTAAACAATCTGAACTACTGAAGTCCCCATACACTTAACCCCTATCAGTACTCAAAGGTTGATTAATTCTGTGTCGGTAAAAAAAATACATTAAAACATATCAGAAAACCAAATAAGACAATGAATACGCGGGAAATATTATCATTTATCACCTATAGTTATGGTTGGATCCATGTTACCGGGTATTATAGAACAGAATAAATTTAATCAGAATGGACATGACATAGAGTAATATCATTGATTATAGAATAGATTCTATAATCAATGGTAATATTATTCTATGGGACACGCTCAGTTTCGATTAATAAAGAGCTTAGTGGTTCCAAGTGTTGCCATATATTTCTGTTTTTACGTTTCATAGGTACAATCATAGACCTATAAACTAGTTATAAATTAGTTTATATGTCTATGGTACAATCATATAGTTCAACAAAATGTTTATATGGTGAATGTGCATACTCTCATAACTATAAATCATAAATGTATATATGTCCTATATGTAATTATTATTTTTTAATTATATCATTTTAATGTTTTAGTATTTTTACAAGTGTTACATTTTTAATAAAGATCTGGTTTCAGAAAAAAAAATTAAATAATAGAAAATTAATAATTACTTTCTCACTTGTAAAATAATGTAATAAATTTATTTTGTATAGTTTATCATTTACTGTAATATATATTGTTGTACATGATTCATTAATGTTTTATGTGAATTTTAATATCAATTATTATTACTATTTATCTAATAATACGTATATATACCGAGTATTATCTTTTTAAATTGTTTGTAGATGTTAAAAAAAGAATTATATAATTAAAAAGATCTTTTATTAAATTACAGATTGCCTTGTATTATTATTTTACAAAATATATATAAAAACAAAAATTGTTTATTAATATTATACACAACAAACTTAAGCCCAATAAAGAATGTATATATATATATATATATATATATATATATATAATATATATATATATATATTCATGTATTACTATATAGAATTTATTATAGATAGGTTAACATTAACTAATTACTAAATATAATATAATGTAATACATTTTACTATTATTATGATCTATTAAAGAAGTAATATTTATACTATTACTTATAAATACAATTAATAAAGTTTTTGAAAACTAAGGATTATGTAGATTATGTGATTGAATCTTTGTTCAATACCCAACTATTAGTGCTCTGCACGATCCGTTATTTTAAGGACCAGACTGGACTTCTATTTTACCAGGGGACCGAAGTTGGACTGGACCACACTTAAACGTTAATCAAAGACTGGGTCTTTAAACCGGCCCGGCTAAAAAATTTTACTGGCCCTACCAAAGTGAAATTATTTTATATTCGTATTACAATAGAGAAAATGATCTGGAGGACACCAAATCTCCATTTTTTATTTCTAAATTGAACATATTACATTAATTAAAACTTAAAAGTTTTGGTAAACGATAAAAAATTGTAAACCCTTTATTTAAAATAAAATATTAAATGTCTACTAATTATTTTACATAGTTATAGACATAGTTCTATAGTAATTATTAAATAAAGATCATATATTATTATAATAGTACTTATTTTAAGTTATTTTCTATTTTCAAATACAATTCTTAGATTAAAAAAATATTTTTAAATATAATAATAATAATGTGCAATATTTATTGTAATTACTTACTAATTACTAATTGTAAACAAAAGAAAAAAAACAGTTACCAAAGTATTTTCACGTTTAATTATGTATTGAAATATATTAATTATTTATTTATTTATCCAATTAGTAATTTTTTCATTAAGTTACTGATTTACGCTACATATTCAATCATATCTACATTTTGTAAAGAATATAATATATCTTTCTCAAACGACATTATAATAAATTCTTCCACATGTTCTCGACTTAAATTACTTCTTAATCTGTTCAACATATACTTCAATTTTGAAAATGTTTTTTTCACACTTAACTTGAGTTATATATAATGTTAACAAAAACTTGTATCTTAAAAATAATTCTGTATATGTTGTAGCATACAAATTATACTTCCCTAAAATTTGATAACAGTAAAATATACAATTTTTACATGTCTTTTTATGTACAAGGTGTTAGGGTGTTCTTTGGTTAAGTCAGATTCCTCTTCTTCATCGTTCTTTTCTAGATCTAATGTGATACAGTTATATTCTTCAAGTAATGTTTTTGAAAGTGAATCCCATTTCCCTGCAAAATCTATTAGTTGTTCTTATAATATTTTTTTATCGATATTTGGTGAAAAGTCGGTCAAAAGCTCAGCTATTTTATTCATCGCATTTTCAGGTAAATTTTTTATTAATTTAAAGTTAGTAGGTAGTATGTAACCATTCAAAGTCTACGTACATTTCTTTATGCTTTGAAAATCTATTTTCTAAACTCTCAATAACAGTATCCAAGGTTACCAATATTATAAACATTAATTTCATATTTTTTTTTAGAACAATCATAAGGGGTATCACTGATGATTTTGTCGTGAAACTTTGGTTTTTTTTTAATTCTAATTTCTTTAAAATCTTCAACTCTGAATGTTGTATCTTCATTTCCAAAAATCACGTTCATAGCAGACGAAAAATATTTAGCTTTTTCGTACACAACAATAAATTTTCTACTTGCATCTTATAACGTTTTTATTGTTTTCTACCATTTTATATGATTGTTGCAAACCCATTCCTGATGTTTATAAATAGTTTTATAATGGAGTGGTACTTTTAAAAATAAGAAGAAATAATTGTGTCAAATTTTAGTAACATTTGTAAGTACACGTTAGCATTAAACCGTGTATCAGAGTTCATACTTTCTGATGTCGAAATATTAAACAACGTTTGACATATTTGAACAAAGATTGAATTTTGAGAGTCATTTAAAGATCCAAAAACTTTTCTTAACGATTTTTCTTTCGACCACCATCTTGTCTCACCTAACGTACTTATGAAACTAATATTTTTACCTTCTGTCGCATTTTTCCAAAAATGCATTCATATATATATATATATATATGATTCACAAACGAATACGGCAACTTTTTCAAAAGACTAAAAAGTGAAATAAATTCATTAGTTTTCTGAGTTACATCCGATATAACCAAATTTAGTACGTGTGCATAGCACCATACATACAAGTTGTTTGGGTGAATCATCAGCTAACCACTTAGTGAATCCTTTATATTGGCCTTGCATGTTAGGTGCACCATCAGTTGAGTTTTCAATACATTTTGTAATATCTATATATATTTGTTTTAACTCGTTTGAAACAAGTTCGTGCATATCTTTACCTTTGCCCGATTTACAATTAACAATGCTTACAACTCGTTCATTAACTTGGTTATTTACGTATCTAACTACAATGGAATACTGGTCGACTACATTGATATCCTGCGTGATATCAATTTGTATGGTAAAAAAATTGGCTTGTTTAATTTTCTCAGATATTTTTTATTTTATTAATTTAGTTATTCCTTCAATTATTACATTGGCAGTAGTTTTCAATAAAAAACTAACAAGATTGCCTCGTCCTTTGTTACTTTGTTTGTCGTGTATTTTTTTTACTCTTATCGATGCAATTTCGCACGAGGTTGTTTAGTACAGGATCAAACTTTGAAATTAACATTAATATTTCGAGTAAATTTCTATGATCTAATGAATCATTATCTAAAGTATAAGCTGCTTCATTAGCATCACGGTAACTAAGACCCCTCTTGCCTATCATTTTGATTGTCTCAATAATACGTTCCAAAATATTTCTATTATTTTGTACTTCTCTGAGGTTTATTTTTCATGCTTTACTGAAATAACTTATGATATCTTTATTACTGCCAAACATGAAAAATGATTCTAAATTGTTAATATGGGTTTTGCTCATTTCATGTTCTTTAATTCTGTCGTAAAAATGCTTAGTTCCACCACTATAACCAGTTACAAAAATATTTTGATCATCTTTTAACCCAAATCCTATACAAATCCAACAAAAAAAATGATTTTCAATTAAGACTATAACTTATCCATTTTCTAATATCGCCCATTTTCTTATTTGTAAAATATACTTTATCAGTATTAAAATCAATATCATTGGGTTGAAGAGGGTGATAATTTAAAAGTTGGTGAATGAATTTCTTAGGTTTTTCATAAAAATCTACATTAATTGTCATATTACAAATGTCATCGGAAACTACCTTGTTATATTATATTATATATATATACAGTGGTTGAATTGGGGGGGGGACGCAGAGGGTCTGAGCTACTCTTCATTTTTCTTCATATTATAGCGTACCCCTTAATTTAATTCATCAAGGAACGCAGGGGACGCAGCGTCCTTCAACAATTATATGAATATGAATTTGTTTCTTAGAAAAATTAAATAAATATGAAAAAAAATTGGAAACGATTAATATTTTATTTAATTTTTGGTATTAGTTCGTAATCTGTTCATTATTATTAGCACATATGTATATTAGGAACGCAATAATAAAATATATAATAATGTTATATAATTTATGTAACACGTTTCAAGTGTTTCCACTGCGTATTAATTCGTGGTATAAACTGCTAAATTGCTAAAAATATAACTATTACGAAAACTTCCCTGGGTGCAGTGGCGCCGAAGTACAAAATTACATGTATGGCATTGACCTCCGACCACCACCCACCCGCCCCCACCACAACACACACAATCACATAACCCACTTAATAAATTTGAAACCTGTCAAACAATTTTCCACCCACTTTTATTTTTGATAAACTCTCTTATATTTTCCAACTAATTCGTATGTAAATATTAACATAAATATAAAATATAATTATATTTAATTATCTGCTAATTGCTATGATACCTACTACAAAATACAAACAAAATGTCAAAACGCAACCTTTTATATTATATTATATACAATATTAATAATAATTATGTCCTTTCGTAACAATATTATTATAAGTATTAAATATTTATTAATAAATCAAACATTTAGTTAGAACACTACTTTTAGCTGCAAATAACAAAATTACATTTTCATTATTAATAATTATATCTTGCTCACATGATATTTTCATTAAACTATCGAGACGATCTTGTGACATAGTTGTTCTTAACTTTGTTTTTATAAGTTTTAATTTAGAAAAAGTTCGCTCTACGCTACAGCTTGTTACAGGTAATGTGATAGATAATTTTAAAACTAAATATAAATTTGGAAAAATATTAGCTAATTAAGCCAAACAAAATAGTTTAAATAATTCCCTCGTACTTGATATGTTATGATAAACAACTTTTGCAGAATCTTCTTCCGCACTATCATAACTATATGCGTTTAACTCTAGTGAATCTTCATAATCTTCAACTATTAAATTGTTGTTAAGATACTTAGGAAGTAAAATACTGTTTTCTATTTCAGTAAAATTTTTACAAAATTCAATATATTCTGTCAATAATGAGTTTTTATCGATTTGTGAGTACATGGTACACAAAGCGTCAAAGGCATCACAAGGTACAATGTGTGGATTATTTTGAACTTCTCGAATACGTCTAAATGAAAGAAGGGATAAGTCTTTTAAAGGTCCTATATTGGTGCTTTCAAAACGTCCACTTAACTCTGCTAAAAGAATATCCATTATGACATTGTATGTATCAATTCTAAATTTTTTCATGGGACATGATATAATTTCATCCTGACAATGTTCACCTGAAATTAATATTACATTTTGAAATTAAGAACAATCATACTTTCTTAATAAATTTAATTAATAATTGATATTTATTATGAAAATTATATACACCTGATTTTCTTGGAACACGTTTGGGTCGACTAGATACAAGAGGTAAAAAGTCAACAATACTATTTTCAGCAAACTCATCAGTCCTTTTTAGTAATCTTTTAAACGAATCATCATTTCTAAGTTCTTTGATTTGATGAATCACATTATTTAAAATATTTGTGGCCATAAGCATATCCATATCTTGGGACTGCAATTGGCGGGTGACAGGTTCAAGTATTTGAAATATAGTTTTGAATAATAATGCTGTTAGAAGAAAACGTTGGGATGTAAGGTATGATATCAAACCACTACAACTCGCACCAACTACTACATCAGCAGATCCTTCAGAATCTTTAATTTTATTTAATGTTTTTAAAACTGCATTGTGGAATTTTAAAACTACATATAATGCTGCCGCATGAGAACTCCAACGTGTTGTACTTACTCTCTTAACAGCATGCAATGGATTATTTTTACCTTCCATATTACCACATTCAATTTGAATTTCTCTGAAAATCGTTGCTCTTTTTTTTGAACACCAAAGAAAAACATAGAGAGTTTCTAAATTGCCAAATAAATCAACTGCGTTGGAGTTGCATGATACTGCTTGTTTTACTACCAAAGCCAAACGATGGGAGTGACACCACACAAATAATGCTTGTGGGCTTTCTTCTTTAATATGAGCTTGGAGGCCATTATAGTTACCACGCATGTTACTAGCTCCATCATATGACTGACCAACCATCTCTTCTTTCCAATTCAAATTTTCAGCTTCCATTACATTTACAAAAATGTCATATAATTTTTTTCCAGATGTAATTGGTGATTCCTTTACTGCTAATAGTCTTTCATGAACCTCACCAGTCACTTCATCAGCATATCTAAAAAATATATTAATATAACATAACAAAACATATTAGTTAAAATAATTGTATTTATTTACCGTATAATAAATGATATTTGTTCATTACGAGATGCATCAAATGTAGTATCAATCGATATGCTAAACATTCTTACAGTTTTAATAAATGATCGTATTTGAAATGAAATATCTTCGGCAATAGCTTCAATCAACTGATTTTGTCTTTGCCATGAAATAAAAGATGTTTCACGTTTTCCATTTTGTTAAATACAGTTTATGTGTTCCGCTAATGGTCCAGAATTTTTAGACATTAACATAACCAAGTCCTTAAAATTACCTCGAGAATTTGAAGACCAATCCTCATAATGCCCACGAAATGCCAGGTTATGACGTCCCATGTATATTACAATGTCTATAAGCTCTAATAAAACTTGTCTATTCATTGCTATCTGAGTTTTTCTATTATTTTCAATTGAAGGCAAAATTGGCACATTGTTTTGACGTAATTTACATTTTAAAGATGATGTTACATGATCTGGAGTTAATTCATGTCTTTGAATAGCAAATGAACAATTTTTTCATTTATTAAACCCTTCTTTGGTCCAAGATTTTTCTAAATTACTATGCAAATTGGTTCCAAAAAGCATGCAATGAATACAAAATATTTTATTTTTGCTTAATGAATAAGACAACCAATCACGATGGCATTTTGATTTATCAGACAAAATTCTGTAATAATGTTTATCATTAAAACTTCTTTTTATCTTTTCATTGTTAATTTCATAAGGAAATATTTTATTAGGTAAATCATCTTGTAACGGTTGACAAGGACCAAATTTTAAGATGTAATCTTTAATTTCCGGTGACAAAATAGACATTTTAGCAAAAATTGCTGGATCATTTTTAATTATATCCATATCCATATCATCTAAAATAAAAGTTGACAGTTCAAAAATTATGCTAAGTAAATAGACTCATGGTAACATATAAATTTTATTTAGAACTTTTTTATTCTAATGAACTATCAAATAAAATTAAGTATCAATATTAAGAACACAATACACATATTATAATGATTAACCTATTATAAAACTGATAATAAACATGTCGATTATGTTTGCAATAAGTCATTTATGAAATTAGGTCTTTTAAAGCCCATATGTATATGTTTCTACGATAGCTCAGCATCAAAAACTATATTTCTCATTAGTTAGATCTCAAATAAAATATGCTACATTAATATGGTTAGGTTATGGCACACTGACAATATTAGACAATATACATGCCTTTCCTTAATTCAAAATAATTTTTTATGATATCTGTCATATAATTGTAATATGAAAAGAACCCCTCAGTCAGGAATTAGGATATAATACAATTGGTAATTTATTTAAAATTGATTCTTTAAAAAACATAAAATAGCATTAAATTTAAGATTCTTAATCAAATTATTGCATAAGATGACTTATTGTGTAGAACTTCTTGAAGAATTAAAATTTAAGGTAAATACAATCAACTCCAGAAATAAACCTACATTTTATCTGTCAAATTTTAAAACTAAATATTTGTCACATAGCCCTGCTAAAATTTTAATGTCTGCAGGTTACAATGTATTACATTTTGATTTGTTTCCATAGATACCTACTACTTCTGATAAACATTTTTTTTTTTTTTTTTAGTGTTATTTAAATAATACTTACTAAATTAATTATTAGTTTTAATTGAATTGTATTTTCTTATCTTATTATTATAAATTATTATACCTATGTTTTTTCTTTTAGCTAAATAGATATGTTAGGTACCCCCTACATAATATTTGTTATGCCTTTAAAAAAATGGAAAAAACATGTTATTTCGCTGTTCGTACATCACTATTACTTTATCTTATAGATTATTATTTTTATCATTATAGGCAAAGGTACAAAAAACTAAATATTCAAAATATATAAATAGGTACATAAAAAATGACAAATAATTTAAGTACATACCTTTATTTTGCAAACATGAGCTTATCTCAGTATCTTTTTGAATTTCACATTCAACCAATGATTCTTTATTAACTGGAGTACTTTGGTCTTCATTTAAATCATTGTTCACATCAAAAATAGCTAAAAATATGTATTAAATTAAAGCTAGTTCTAGTTGTATATTCAATAAGGATATTAATCATCAAACGATTATGAGTTATATAGGTACATATTCACAATTAAGTATATAAATACTTAAAAAAAAGTTGTTTAATATGGATAGGCACATACCTTTATTTTGCAATCATGAGTTTATCTCAAGACTAGTTGTATATTCAATAAGGTAATTGATTATCAAAAAACTATGTGAGCATGTAATATGTACAAATTATCATTTGTTAATGTATAAGTAGGTACAAAAATGTAAGTACATAAAATAAAATCATATATAAAATCAATCATCAGAAAAATCTTTTTTAACTAATATATTTTTTTTTACACATATAAGCATTTTTTTTTACTTTTCTATACTCCAAATTAACAGTAGTGGGATAAATTAATGTAATTATCAGGACTAGGATTTGTATGAAATAAAAAAATTGTAAAATATGCATTTTATTTACCAAAATATGCAAAAATATAGATTTAAATTTTTATAAGATAAATACAAAAATATAGTAATAAAAATAAAAAAAAATATTTATTGAATTACATCAGTGGTTGGTTGTTTGTCTTAATATAATATAATAGAGAAATAAAATAAAATAATTCAAAATAAAATTTATGTTTGATAAAAAAAATCAAGTTTTATACTTTTGTTGTATGCCAGATCGGGTAAACTCGGTAGGGTCCGTTGGCATTACAGTAACGTTTTTTAAGTTCGCACTTTAGAAAAAAAACACCACGAGGAAATTCTCAATTCAACAATTTTATTAAAAGTATTTTATTTTATTGAGTCGCTGAAAATTATAATATAGAAAGAACGATTTTACAATTGCTTGGTTGTTACACGAATGTCAGCATTTGTCCCCACATATTAACATATACATACTTAACAATAATAATAATAATAATAAGTATAATAATAATATACTATAATATGCTGTGGTGCACATAACACTTTTATCAGCGGGGCTAGAATTAAATACGAAATATACTATAATACATTCATTTTTTGCATTCATATAATTGAAATATGCAATAATATTAATTTTATTCAATATATGCAATAATATCCATTTTATCTAAAATATGCAAAAACATGCAAAATAAAAACACCACCATTTATCTCATCATGAGGTGATTCGTGGACATTATTGACAAAATCAATATTCAGAAGTCGCATAAGAAATCATGCTGTTGCATACATATCCTAACCCTGGTAATAACTAATAGAACATAGCCACATAGATAGGTTATAGTACAATAAGTTGGTAGTACAGAACTTATAAGTAAAAACTAATCATATTAAATATTATAATTAAGATCAGTATTAATTATTTAAAATAATACATATTTATAATATATCTGTATTTTTATTTTAAAACAAAATAAAACATTTAAATAAATTATGTAGGTACTTACTATTTTTTACAGCAGTAATTTGGTGAATCAATTTGCTTTTTTTATTCTTGTTTCCAGAAAAAAACGATTTTATATCATGCGAGTTTCTTTTAAATTTTCGTACTTTACATGAGTTAATATGTCTATTCCAATTTTTATCGTTCATTGATGAACTTAATTTCCCGCAATCACATTTACAAACAGAACTCATAGTTTTTGGTATTAAATAAATTACTTTATAAGGTTGATTTGTACTTAATATTCTTAGACAATTATAATTTTTAACTTTAAATAGTAGTGGTTAAAAATTAAAAATTCTTAAAAGTTAAATAATAAAACCAATTAAATAATATAAATATATGTCACAGTCTTTTTGAATTATAGCTGGCTTATTAGTTATTACACTAAACTGAAGGTACAGTTGATTTTCAACGATAGTGTATCATAATTTATAGGAATTTTTAGCTATTTATAAACACTATAATGGACTAAATGTTGCATTTTTGATAACATAATAGACGCTAATAATGTAATATACGTATGTTAGTGGAGTGGGTGGTCGCCAGTCGGCGAATGTCTATTTTGGTTGATGGTTTTTATTTTTATTTTTGTTCTATCCAAAATGCACCATTAGTTGTTACTGTTCTTACTAATCAGTAATGATCGTATTATTATGAACTATTTGGTGTTAATTGATCAACGAAATAATGTATATGTAATACCAAATACTCGAAGTGGGCAATACTACTTAATAATTTGTGATCCTATTTCTATTAATTGTCATCATTTTATTTTCCTCTGGACCCCCCCCCTTAAATGTTTATATATATGGCAGCTGCCATACATAAACATGGACTTCGGCGCCACTGCCTGGGTGTACCGACGATAACGATCCATAGTAAACCACTGACAATCAGTGTTGTCAGACGTGGCGATAAATCGCCAAAGTGGCGATATTTCACATCTATATGGCGTACGAATTTTTAATTTGGCGATTGGCTCTAAGAATGGCGATATTTGAAAAGATATGGCGAAAAAAGTGGCGTAAATTCATAATATTATATCTATCATAAATTATTTTAGAAAAATTTTTTTGTTATCAATTCTGAAGAAAAATAAAAAAACCTTTGTCAATGTCTAAGAAGACCGATCTCCCCATAGACATAATAACATTTGTTATTATGTCTATTGAATGATTTGTCTTTTTGTTTGTTGTTGAAAGTATTATATTTTACTATGTTTTATATTAAATTATATTTATAAAAGTTCATATTAAAAAAAAAATCAGAAAATTACAACTTTGTTTACAGTAGTGGTTTTTACAAAGTAAAAGAAAAAAATGATATTTTAATAATAGTTATTTTTGTTTTTGATTGTTTATCTGATTTTATTGTTATATTTAAAGATTTATCATTTTATTTGTTTGTTGTTTAAAGTAGGTCTTAGATTTTACCATGTTTTATACCTATGAAATTATATTTATAACCAAAAGTTAATAATAAAAAAATTTAGAAAATTTCTACTTTTTTTATTAGTTATGTGGTTTGTATTTACCTGTTGAGAAATTTTTTTAAGAAGAATTTATCCATAGGTATGTTCTATTGAATAAACTATAGTCTATTCTATAATCAAATGTACTTATAATAAAATACAACTATGTTATATGTTACCATACATAATTCATACATAATGGTGTTAGCCAAATTAAAATTAAACAACGAAGTGGCTTCAAATATAAATTTTTTTATGATTTTGGCTATATATTTTTTTATATTTGGCGGTAGATAGCGATAGTTTTTAATTTTGGCGGTAGATGGCGTTATTATCAAAACAAATTGGCGATTGCCAGAATGATAAATGTGGTAACACTGCTGACAATAATAATATATTGACTCCGTATTTTGAGAATCCGTCCGTTGTTTTAGTTATCGACGATTAATAAATGGTGATCGTTTTCAAGGAAAAATAAATATTATTTATATTTTATTTGGAAACGAGGTGCTCCACGAATGAGTAATCAGTATTATGTTAGCTTGTGGCGTACTCGCGTATGTAATTTATAAATTGTAATTTTGTTGAAAATAGTAAACACCTCAACCGCACTCCTACAGTCCTTCACGTCACGTCAGCAATAAACATGAATAAACGTCAAAAATTGTCCATATCGGACTTTTTCAATAAAAAGAAAAACAATGACCAAGGTAATTAAAACACTTTAATTTAATAATAAATCATAGGCGTGCGCAGATTCCTGTTACCGGTGTACTTTTATTTTTTTTTGATAATCCACCTTCATAAATCCCGCCTTAAAAAAAAAAAAAAAATAGATATACAAAACATAAGTAAGTAGAAATAAAATTTATTAGAAAAACTGATGTACAATCTGATTATCAATGAACGTCAGTCCCGGCAATTTTTATTTTTTTGTAATTTGATAAAATTGATAAAAAAAACTTGTTTTTCCAAAAAAAGTTATTAGCCCTTTTTACTTAAGTACCTAGTACCTACCTAAAAAAAAAGTTAATAAATACAGTTAAAAGTTCCTTAAATTTTTTTTGGTCATACATTTTAAAGCAATACATATACATACCTATGATAAAAATAATTATTATTTAACTCTCAGCAAATCTTAGTCCTAAAAATAATGTGACGGGATGAAATAAATTATTTGACTAATATTAAACTTCAAATATTAAAATTAATATTGACAAAGAAAAATTAATATACTAATAAAAGAGTAACATTTATAATCTATAAATTTAATATTTACTTTTTGTAGGCAACAGTAAAATACATGAATTATTTTAAATTGAAAGTTAATTGATTAATTAATTTTATCACGTGGCTATATATTTACATTTTAGATTTTAAATTTGCTAGACGTGTTGCTGTGTTGATAGAATTAATTCAAATAAATACCTATTAGTATTGTTTATTATTTGTTATAGATATCTGTGTTAATCATTAGATATTTTTAATTATTTATATTGTAGATGCATTTAGGGGGTGGGGGGGACAGAGTCCCCTACGGTTTTTTTTAGATTAATTTGCTTTGGAACGCTAATTGTTCAGCTACATTTAGAGTCCACCTTTATTTTTTTTTCCAATTCAACCACTGTATATATATATATTATTTTTAGATATTATATATTGACACAAATCGTGTTCTGAATGTGTTTATTATATTTATAATTTTTAACATTATTTAATGTATAAAACCCTAACTTAAACACTTGTATAATTAGATGTACCTACTTAATTGATAATGGATGTTATAATATATTTATATTATAGATATATTACGCATTTTTTAGATGATAATATAACAAACAATTTGTCAAATCATACTAAGCTAGAAGGTAAATTGATGCATTAATTGTATTATATTCAATTTTGAAATAATTTTAATGGTTAGTTAAATTAAAAAACAAAATTATAATAATATAAAACATTAGGTATATTATGTTTAACTTAATAATTTTATAAATATGCTTTCCAATTTTCATCTTTAGGTAACAATAATTTGAAAAAATGTAACTGTAGTGTTATTGAAAATGAAAGAGAAAATCTAAATAGTGATGATGGTAATTTCTAGTTAAATTTTTTACCTAACTATTTAAAAAATTAAAACTATTTTCTATATGTCAATGCTTCAAAACAAAGACCATGAAAAAAATCAAGTTAATACAATTGAAGATGTAGAAAATATTGATACTATGGAAATAGTTGAAACCTGTTCAAATGTTGATAATGGTACCTATATAATATATACAATATCTGTATTTAGATTTTAAGTACATGATTGAGACCGGACTGGACTGATTTTCATTTTATTTTTTTGAAACCGGACCGGACTGAAAATAATGCATTTGATCTGAGAACTGGACCGAACTACTCCTAAAAATTATTGAACCGGACCAAACCGACGATTCAATAGTTTTTGTATGTTAGGACCGGACTATGCAGAACACTACCAACTATCCTAGCTTCTAGTTTTCACTAATGGTTCCGTATCTAATACTTCTGCTGAATTTTCTTTTTATATCCCCACGTTCAATATTTCCTTTTCCAGTAAGATTAACGCTCTCATTTCTTCTTTCACTATTGAGTATTATGCTAATGATCCATAATTTATCTTCTATGTTGAATTTATCAATTATTTGATTATTTCTGATTCGCAATCATGCCTATCATTCCTAATCATATCTTCTGGCTCATTTAATTCTACTTTATCCTCGCTTATTCTTATCATCAAATCCATAGTTCATCGTCTCAGCCTTGTGACCTAAATAGTCAATTTTTTCTGGATCCCCAGTCATAGCAATGGATGTGCAAACCATCTAGCTTATTCAACAAAATATATTAATCGTATTTCCTCCTATAAAATACCAGCTTCCAATCTTTTCCCTATAGTTATAATTTTATTTAATTTAAATTATAGAACAATTCATAAATGTACATAATTGTAAGCTAGAAACGCACTTGGAGAGCTTGAAAGAAAATGTCTTTTAATTGTTTTTTTTTGATATTAGAACGACAGTTCATCTAAATGTATTATTAGTAGGACTTGGAAGTTGATGCATTTTGCAATTTTTTTTTTAACTTTTTAGACGATGCTCTCATTGCCCCAAATGTGTTTCATTAGCATGTGAATTCGAATAACTAATTTTTAATTTGAAGTTTTTGGTGTTTGTTACTTTTTAAGTAATTTTTTGACTTTTTTATGTAATTTTCCCACATTTTTACTGATTTTTCACTAGTTAACTTTTTATTGACCATTATACCGATAGCTTAATTCTTGTTCGATTACATTCGTAGTTGTTTTGTTGTAGTGAATAATATTCACTGAATATTATTATACCTAAATTTTATTATTTTTTCCTAATATTCTATTCGACTAGTATCTAATTTTATCTCGTAGATTACATTCGTTGTGTCATTATCATGTTATAGTGAATAATACCTATTATATCTACATTTTAATATTTTTTTCATAATATTTTGGCAAAAATTAAAACGCCGGTTACTGCTCGTCTGCGTCTCCCAATCACTTCAGTGGACGTGCAGAGTTTTTCCAAATATAAATATTTATAAACAGATAATCGTCGTTCATTTACTTTTGATAACATCAAATACGCTCTAATTGTACAATGCAATGATTATGATTTTTGAGTAATTTGTAAGCTTTGATAAATTTATAAACCAATGTTTGTCATTTTTTTTATTTCATATTTTAAGGACATTTGTTGTTATTTTTATTTCATACTTTGAGTAATTGTAAGTTTTGATAAATTTATATAGAATGTTGTAGTAAAATAGGATAAAATATAATAAAAAAAAATATTGGTACATTTTTTAGGTCATTTTTTAAGGACAACTTTTGTCATTATTATGTCATATTTGTATCTTTTTTAGGCCATTTTGTAATTTTTTAAGGTCGTCAACTTCCGAGACCTTATTATTATTTAGAACATCCCCCATCCCATTGAAAATTCCTAGGAACGCCACTGTCTGTTGTTATTTTGCATCACCCGGTTATGTTGTTTAAACATCTACAAAGGTACCAAAAAACATCAGTGAAGAACACATATAAAGATGTAACCGATTTATTTATTAATAATTAATTTTTTTTTTAATAAAAGTAAATTAAACTGAAAAAAAATGTTGAAATCGTGGTGAATGGGGGAATCGTCTTCCGGGATCAATGGATGTTTTTTCAAAACGTACTTAAAATTAGTTCTTTTGAACGATTATATCAATGTGAGACACATAGACATACATAACTATTAATTATTTCT